TGTCCCCGGCCCTGGTTGGGTCATGTGGGTGGCAACCACTCGATGTGTCGCTTTCACGTTGATGTTTCTCTCTCTCTCTCTCTCTCTCCTCTCTCTCTCTCTCTCTCTCTCTCTCTCTCTCTCTCACGTTGATGTTTCTCTCTCTCTCTCTCTCTCTCTCTCTCTCCTCTCTCTCTCTCTGTCTCTCTCCCTCCCTCCCACGCTATCTGAACAAAATATCGAAAAATGTCCTCGGGTGAGGATAAAAAAAAATAAAAATAAAAAATAAAAATCAGTGGAAAAATGTCCTTGAGTAACAATTAAAAAAAAAAAAAGCGGCACATCCTTTGGTCTAGCAATTCCTGTTCTAGATATGAAAAGAGAAAACTTAAAAATCAAGTGCAAAAATAGTGGAGCCCTGGCCAGTTTGGCTCAGCGGTTAGAGCGTCGGCCTGCGGTCCGGAGAGACCCGGGTTCGGTTCTCGCTAAGGGCACGTACTTCGGTTGCAGTTTGTCCCTGGCCCTGGTTGGTCGTGCGGGTGGCAGCCACTTGATGTGTCCCTTCACATCGATGTTTCTCTCTCTCTCTCCCCCACTCTATCTGTACAAAAAATGGAAAAATATCCTCGGGTGAGGATGAAAAAAAAAAAAAATAGTGGAATTAAACAACAGTATGTTTATGTTAGAATATTAGACAGCCATTTAAAACAGCATTGTGGAATTGTTCACAATGTAATATATATTTTTTAAACTTAAAGAGTACAATCCAATTTTCTTATTCATATGTAGAAAGACTACAATAGGCCAAACTTGTGTGGTTCAGTGTTTGAGCATCAACCCATGTACCAAGAGGTCACCGGTTCAGTTCCCTGTCAGGACATATGCCCAGTGGGGGGCATGTGGGAGGTGGCCAATCGATGTTCTCTCATCAATGTTTCTATCTCTCTCTCCCTCTTAAATTAATCAAATCAAATAAAAAGCCTAGAATAAAAATGAGAGATATTTTTAACATTTAACACCATCTTAACATTTTGTATTTTCCAAATTCTTTAAAATGACCACATACTACATTTATTTAAAGAAAAAATCCATACAATCTCATTTTCAAAGTGGACCAACCAGTGCTATTCCCCTTCAACGTTTGGTCAAGAATGGGACAGATGGCTGCTTTGCCCTAACTATATTTCTTTAGAACAAAATGCATCCCATGATTTATGCCAGGATATATTGATGTAGTTTAGTCAAGTTGAATCACTTGAAGCCTGTTTAGATTGGGGGGGGAGGGGAATCAAGTGTTTAAAAAAAACATCATTCTTTATAACAACAGTAATACAAATTTGCAGTGCACCTTCTAGACTGTTTTCTGTGCCTTACTAGCATTTCAAGTTGTTCTCTAGCAATATACAATTTAAAAAACCAAATGGAATCAAATCACGACTGTACTACATGCCAACATGCTGACATCCCTGCACTTTCATTTAAATGGCCACACCATATTCCATTAAGCTTTTCTTTAAATGTTTTTATTGATTTTTTAGAGAGAGAGGAAGAGAGGAGAGAGAAAAATTGATGGGTTGCCTTCTGCACACCCCCTACTGGGGATTGAACCTGAAACCCAGGCATGTGTCCTGACCAGGAATTGAACCAGTGATCTTTTGGTGCGTGGGTTGATGCTCAGCCACTGAACCACTCCAGGCGGGCTAAGTTCTTCTTTTAACTCCTCCATAAAAGCACTAGAAAATCAATGCAGTTAAAAAGCCATTGTGTAGCCTCAAAAAGTTAGTTACCATGACCCAGCAATTCCACTCCTAAGCATCGACCCAAGAGAAATTAATACATATATCCACACAAAAACTTGTACATGAACATTCACAGCACTATTCATAACCCAAAAATGAAACAACCCAAATATGTACCAACTGATAAATGGATAAAATGAACCATATCCATATAATGGAATAGCATTCAATCATAAAAGGAATAAGTACTGATTCATGCCACAGTACAAATCCTAAGAATATCATATCGAGTAGAAGCAGCCAGACACAAAAAGTTATGGTACATGATTCCTGAAATATACAGAATAGGTCAACAGTGAACTGCACACTTTAAATTATTAGTACTGATTTTTAGGGAGGGAGGGAGGGAGGGAGATAAATACACTGATCTGTTGCCTCCCAAATGTACCCCAACCCCCACTGTGGATCAAACCTGTGACTTTGGGGTGCAAGAGACAACGTTCCAACCACTGAGCAACACTGGCCAGGGCTGAACTGTAAACTTTAAATTGGTGACCTGTATCATATATAGATTATGTCTAAGCAAAGCTGTTATTATACATAATTTATATTCAATAAATGTTTGGGGGATGAATATATTAATAAAGAATATGTGTACCAAATAAAAGTCATTGTCAAATATATTTTTTGTCTTCCATTGTACACATTAGTGAAACTAATTTTTGATATGAATTAGCCAACCACATACACATGAACTATGAATATTACACAGAAAGTGCTCAGTGTTTTTTAAATCAAGTTTTTATTTACAATACGAGATTCACATTAAGAAATGCTAGCGAGCCCTGACCGGTTTGGTGGCTCGGCGGTTAGAGCGTCAGCCTGCGGTCCAGAGATACCTGAGTTCGGTTCCCGCTAGGGGTGTGTATGTTGGTTGCAGTTTGTCCCCGACCCTGGTTGGTTGTGCGGGTGGTGGCCACTCACTGTGTACCTTTCACGTTGATGTTTTTCTCCCTTTCTCTCTCCCCCTCCCTCCCTCCTACTCCACCTGAACAAAAGATGGAAAAATGTCCTTGGGTGAGGATTAAAAAAACAACAACAACGCTATCCATACCTGTTTATTATGCACTTCATCGCCCTCTTAAAACACGTCTCCCAGGTCAGAGTTGAACCACAGCCTAAACCCACTCACAACATTTCACACAGCCCACAGAAGTAATTGCATAACACTCTGCCTGGACTATTAATAAGTCTCCTGCAATTTCTAGAGACCTTAATGTTATCTTAACTAAAATTCACATTCCTTTTAAGTCACTACTGACCAGTTATGTCCTGTTAACAATATTTTATTAACATAAGAGGAATTACTTGCAGTTGGAATTATGGACATACCAAATTCTTGCTCAATTATCTCTCCAATTTATTCACTCAACGAATATTTTAGGTGCTCTTATAGGCACCGAGAATACAATAGAAAATTAAAATAGACAAAGGAAAGCAAACAAAACCCTGCCCTCATGGAACTTACAGTCCAGTAAAAAGGAAATTTAAGAAAATTTTATTTTTACAAGCTCATGTGTTTTTTTTTTTTTAATCCTCACCCCAGGATATGCCTTTTCATGGATTCTAGGGAGAGAGGGAGAGAGAAAGAGAAACACTGATGTCAGTGAGAAACATTGATCAGTTGCTCCCCCCCCCCCCACCAAAGATGGAACCCGAAACGTGACCAGGAATCAACCGCCCCCACCCTTCGGTGCATGGGGCCATGCTCTCACTACTGAGCAATAACCACATGTCTTATGAATTAAATGTCAGCCTCAGCAAGGAATCTCCACGATTCTAAACATCAAAATTCACGGATTTATGGAATGTTAGTAGCAGTTTTCAATGACAAGCTTTTCTTTCCTTATTATAGATTTGCCAAGAACATAAAAACAAACATGATCTACTTCCCAAGTGTACTCAATATTGAAAGTCGAAACACTTTACCTGCATATAATTGTGACAGATGAGGACAGTGAGTTGTCAGAAGATTTAACAGCCTCAAATCTTCAAATCACTGAGGTACCAACTGGTTTTTGCTTTAAATGAAGGAAAGGCCGGGCCAGTGTGTCTCGATTGGATTCCCAGTCAGGGCATATATCTAGGTTTTGGGTTCCATACCCAGTAGGGGCACAGGCAGGAGGCAATCAATGGACCCCCCCCCCTCCAAACTCAATTTTTAAATTAAGAAAAAAAGAGAAAAGGCATTCAATAACTCGAACTGTGTAACAGGAAGACATTCACTACCTCCAAAAGCAAAAGTGCAATTTAGTACAAAGATCACAACCAGCTCAAAAAAGTAACTTTTGGAAACAAAAGTCTAAGATGTATTTACCCCATAGCTTCAGCCCTTGGATACTATGTGCCCTACCAAGATCAGGGGTATGGCGGATAACGGGATACATTTTGTTTCAGATCAGGCTTTTCCTTCACGATTTGGTTAATGGAAACCATCTGTGAGTTTTACCTGCCCCAAATTGAAGCTTTTGGGGAGAAAGGGTTGGTTACTTACAATGCCTTGCTGGAAAGATCATCTAAATTAAACCGATTGGAATGTTTTACTAAATTATTGGCAAGGTAGCCCTGGCCGGTTTGACTCAGAGGTTAGAGTGTCAACCCTCAGACAAATGGTCAAGGGCACCACGTACCTGGGTTGCAGGTTCCATCACGGCCCTGTCGGGTTCCTGCAGGAGGCAACCAATCAGTGTGTTTCTCTCACACTGATATTCCCCCTCACCCCCATCTAAATAGCCTAGGATGAGGATCAACCAAAAAAAAAAAAAAAAAGGCAAGGTCATAAAATTGTGCCATCCAAAACCTTCTTAAAATTGAAAACATATTCATAAATCCTGTAATGCTTCCTTAATAACTTCTAAGGACTACAAATTTCAAGAATTCACAATTTAAAGAACTTGACAGCCTCATTCATGAAAAGTTCCCAAAGGTATTATAGCACCAAAGAGCCACTTGGCTTAGAGGTACTCTGAGGCTTGGTTTTTGTAAACACGGACAGCTACAGCTCTCTCAAAGGTAAGCAAAGACACTTCAACTCTCCTGACACAGACTTTAAGAGGTAAAAATGAACCCAAGGACCCAGACCATAAACCTCACCAGATTGCACGAAACATCAAATGAGTAAACAACTAAACCAAAATAACACTTCAAAAAAACAGTGCACAGTTTTGAGTAAAAAGGGTGTCAGCCAGCCACTCAGCAAAAGCACATGACTCATCCACCGACCTGAACACTGTCCACTACACCAAAGTGGGATTTCCCGTCTTCGTCCAAGGCCAGGCTTGTGGGAGTCTCAGTCGGGTAAAGCTGTACTATTTCCGTTGGGGGGGAGGGCGTCATTTTATTTCGCTGCATCACAACTCCATCACATCACCACCCCAAACCATCACCCCGCACAACACCGCAAATAGATGAGGCCGAGGCAAGGACGCTAACCGAGCACCGAACGAGCAAAACAAAGCGCCCGGCAAGGGGTTGCCAGGCTGGGAGTAGTTGAGTAAAGAGAGCCAGGATCGCCTCTCGGGCAGGAGTGCAGTGGCAGCCTCCTGCTGGAAAACAGGCGCGTTCTCCGCAGAGCTCCGAGGACACTCGCGAAGGTGAAGAAATGGGGGCGGGGGCCCGTCGCCCCTACCCGGGCAAAAGGACCATGGCGTCGGGGTGGAGAAAGAGCATGCCGGGCCTGGCCCACGTGAGTGGTCGGTCTCAGGCCAAGTCCGCCCCGGGGACAGTGGCACCGCGGCCACCACACCGGGCCCGGACTTACCCGGGCCGGGAGCGCCGCGGGCTCCGCAGCGTCCGCTTCCTCCTCCTCCTCCTCCTCCTCACTTGACAAAATGGCGGCGGCAGGAAGTGCTGGGCGCCTCGGCCCGCCCCCCCCGCGGCCGCCCGCCCCCGGCCGCACGCCCGCCCCGCCGCGGCGCCCGCACCCCCGCATGCGCCCCCACCCCGCTGCCCAGCCAGAGCCCGGGGGCGTCGGCGCCAACGACAGGGCGAGCAAGCGGCCAGGCGCCCCGACGCCAACGGCACAGGCGATCCTGGCGCAAGTGGTGGCGCGGGAGGCCCGCAGGCCCGAGCCCGCGTCGCCCCGGCCTCCCCGCCCTCGCGCCGATGGCGGGGAGCTGGCGCACCGGCCCCATTACGCAATGCAGGTGACGCGAATCGCGCCGTGAGCCCTCGCCGGCCACCCAGCACCGCCCGCTGCCCCGAAGGGCACCGGTCCTCACCTGAAACGCTAGGCCGCACGCCGCCCCCGCCGGCCGCCGCAGCCTCCTCCTCGAGCTGCTATGCGACGCCGGGGCCCGCCCGTCGCGCCCGCTGCTCCGCCGCGCTCACAGGCCCCGCTCGCCGGCGAGGACCGCCGGCAGCCGCCACCGTCGCAGCCACTGCTTCGGCTCCTCGGCTGCGGGAGAGCAGAACAAACAGCCCTGCTGCTGCTACCGCCGCCGCCGCCGCCGCCGCCAGCGCATTGACGTCACCGCGCACGCTGCGCGCGCGGCCCAACGTCGCCGCCGCCCGGCGTGCACGCCCCCGGGGCCGCGCGGCACCATTGAGCCAGGGAGAGCCGGCGACCGAAAGGTAAGTGCGCTAGGTGGGTCCGGGGGCTGGGGAACCCCGTAGACCGAACGATAGGGCTCTTCAGATCGAGGGAAAGGACCTTGTAGACTGAGAGGGAGCCCCCGAAGACCGAGTGAGGAAGCTGAGATCTTGCGGACCGAGGGAGAGGATTCCTCAGACCCCACTCAGACTGAGGGACGGGACCGAGGGGAGACTGAAGGCTGCGTTCAGGGGAAATATCAGAAGGCAGGCAGAGTGAGACGTCCAGAATTTAAGAAGGGTCTAGGATCGACCCTCTAAGAGGAAGGCCGGTGAGGAGAGACCCTACAGAGGCCGAGGATAGACACCTGTCTGAGGGAAGCCCCCCTTTCCGGAGGGGAGCCTGAAGGGTATGAGAGAAGTTGGGGGGGGGGGAGGCTTTGGGTCGCTAAGGCGAGAGAGCTGCTGCAATGGAGGTGCCGACCCTGGGGTGAGCGGAAGAGTTGAGGAGGCTGTCCACAAGGCTGAGGTGATCTCTTTCTTGGCTAGCCACCGCTAGCTAATAAGTAAAGACTGGAAGGTGCTGGACACCGGGCTGAGGGCACTCTCCTTCCACATGTCCTCCAGCTGACCTCCTTCTTCCTCCTTAAGGCTCAAACTACAAGTCAGCTCCATTATGTGAGGTTAGATTTAGGTCTCTTGCAGCTTAAATTTATTATTCTATGAAAGTTTTCAAAGGGGAAACATAACCTCCCTTCCCTTTTGCTCTTATCTTTACTCGTGGTATTTTTAGTCACATCTTTTAAAAATAACCGGCTCAAGTTATTCTGCAAAATCTAGGTAATTAAAAAAATTTTTTTGATGGCCCTTCTTTCAGAATGTATTGATATCCTAGTCTAGTAGTCAGAAGTTTTGTCCCTATCATTGTGTTTGCTCACTCTTCCCCAAGGGCAATCATAAATCACTGATGAGTCCTGGGCACAGTAAAGACTTAATTTTACTCTTTATTTTAACAAAGCATGAGGTAAATGATTAAGTGTAAAAAAATAAAGGCATTAATAGTAATTGGTTCATTAGTAAGCTTCCTTCTAATTCTGTATTACAGAATATTGAAACTCGTGAATATCTTCTGGCTCCTAATATTTGCTCGTTGGGTAATTTGCAGAAGATAGTTGAAAATGGAAAAAAGAATAAGAAGGTACACAAGGCCAAGTGAATATGGACCAACCTTTTTGTTTTTTTAAAGGGAACCAGAATGTATCCATTTTAAACTACTCCTTCCCACAGTTGTCTTGTTGCATTATCCACTCAATTTATTGTTGCAGACTGTTCCAAATACCTTCGGAAGTAATTTGGAGCTCCCAGTTTGCAAGTTACATAATGAATTTTTTCTTTGACTCTCGAGTCACAGTTTATTTTATTATTATTATTTTTTAATCCTCATCCGAGGACATTTTTCCATTTTTGTTCAGACAGAGTGGGAGGGAGAGAGAAAGAAACATCGATGTGTGAGTGGTTGCCTCCTGCACAATCCAGCCAGGGCCGGGGACAAACTGCAACCAAAGTACATGCCCCTAGCAGGAACCAAACCTGGGTCTCTATGGACCGCAGGCTGACGCTTTAACCACTGAGCCAAACCAGCCAGGGCTCATTTTAGACAAAACCATAAATAGTTGGCTTGATTTATTGAACCCAACTGGAGTGCTTTTTGCTATTGCTAGAAACGAAATCCAACCTGAAGAGAATATGGAAGCTGTAAAGGGAGTTCCAAAAGCTGTCTCCAAAAATCTTTTAGGACAACATCTCATTCTTTTTGTCTTCTATAATGCCTAGGCTAACTCCTCACAGATAGCTCAAACTCAGAAAATGTTCATCAAGTTGAATCAGTTTAGTAGTTTCATTACTTAACGGTTCACATTTTTATAAACTCTTTTTTACTTTCTCTTGTTACTACTACTGTGTTTGAAATATTGAAACCCAGAAAAGATGACTAAAAACATTAAGGAATGAAATATGAGATGTTATACAATATAATTCTGACTGGTATTATTTATTTTTAATAAACTAATACATGAAACCATTTTAATTGAACAATACAAAAGAATATGGAGGAAAAATAAAGCATCCTCCCTTTCCCCTTCCCCCATCAGAGTAACCACTTTGATGTGTTTATACCTAAGGTATCTGATAGCTACTGGCCACATGTGGCTATTGAGTGCTTTAATGTAGCTGGCCCAAATTGACATGTGCTGCAAGTGTAAAATACAAATTGCCTTTAAGAGAGTTAGTATGAAAAACTATATAAAATATCTTGTTACTAACTTTTTACATTGATCACATGAAATAAGTTTTTACATAGTGGGTTAAATAAAATATTAAATTTAATCTTAATCTGCTTATTTTTACTTTATTTTTTTTTTAAAGAATTGATGTATATTTATTATCAAATCATACAAGGAAATATTAACTTCAGTTACAACCAATCCTGATCTTATGCCATCTTAAAATGTTTAGTATTTCTATTTCTTTTTAATCCTCACCCAAGGATATTTTTCTATTTATCTTCAGATAGAATGGAAGGGAGGGAGGGAGGGAGAGAGACAGACAGACAGACAGAGAAAAACATCGACTTGAGAGAGACACAGATCCACTGGTTGCCTCCTACATGACCCCAACCAGGGCCAAGGGCAAACCGAAATCTTTGTGTGTGTGTGTGTGTTTTTTTTAAATAAATGCTAGCGACTTCCGGTCAAGATGGCCGCTTAGGTAAACGTGGTATCACGTCCTCCCACAACCACATCAAAGTTACAACTAAACTACAGAACAGCCATCATTCAAAACCGCCTGAAATCAAGCTGGATGGAAGTCCTACTACTACGGAATTAAAGAAGCAGCCACATCGAGACTGGTAGGAGGGGTGGAAGTGGACAGGCTAGTCCCACACTCATGTGTGGCAGATAAAAATCAGGAGGACACCTCGGCTGTGAAGGTCCTCCCTGAGGTCTGGGAGGTCCCTGTCCCACATCAGGCACCCTGCTCAGGGTTCCAGTGCCAGGAAAAGAAGTCCCCATGACTTCTGGCTGGAAAAACCAGCGGAAACTGAGGCTCAGGAGGCTGAGGCGGCTGGAGCCCCAGGCAGCTCCTCTTAAAGGGCCTGCACACGGACTTACTGGGACTCTTTCCCTCTAAGCTTGGAGGAGAGGCAGCTCAAGAGACATACAGAGAAGAATTGAGCTGTTTGGCATTGGAGCGAGGGCTGGAGAGGGCTTTCTCCTGGACAGAGGTGCTGTCAGAGAGGCCTTTGTTCTTTTGGTGAGCCTTTCCCTGGGGCGGCAGACAGCCTCCACATCTGGGACTCCAAAAACCTGGCTCACACTGGTTGCCCCACCCTGGTGATTCCCTGAGGTCCCGCCCCATCCAACTTTCAGGCCCACTCAAGCTGTTACCGGTTGCTTAACCACAGGATGGCTCCTGCTTCAGGTTTTCCTAAGTTCTTTCAAACAAGCAGCATCTGGTCTCAGATAGCCCCATACCTCTGTTAAGTAATACACAGAAACAAACACAGGGAGGCAGCCAAAATGAGGAGACAAAGAAACAGGTCCCAAATGAAAGAACAGAACAAAACCCCAGGAAAAGAACTATGGGAAATGGAGATAAGCAACCTAACAGATGCTGAGTTCAAAATACTGCTTATAAAGATGCTCAATGAACTTAGTGGGAACCTCAGTGGACTTAGTGAAGGCCTCAAAAGCATTAAAAAGGACCAGTCAGAAATGAAGGAGGCACTAACTGAAATAAAGAATAATTTACAGGAAATCAATAGTAGAGTAGGTAAAGCCAAGAAGGAAACCATCGATTTGGAATATAAGGAAGCAAAAAACATCCAATCAGAACAGCAAAAAGAATCCAAAAAATAATGAAAATATAAGGAGGCTCTGGGACAACTTCAAGTTGTCAACATTCGCATGGTGGGGGTGCCAAAGGGAGAAGAGAGAGAACAAGAAATTGAAAACCTATTTGAAACAATAATGGCAGAAAATTTCTCTAACTTGGTGAAGGAAACAGACATATAAGTCCAGGAAAAACAGAGTTCCAAACAAGATGAACCCCAAGAGGCACACACCAAGGCATATCATTATCAAAATGCAAAAGTTTCAAGACAGAGAATCTTTAAAGCAGCAAGAGAAAAGCAGTTAGTTACCTACAAGAGAGTTCCCATAAGCC